CCTCAGCTCAAATAAATGGCACGAGCAAAAAAGCACAAGGAAAGTGATGAAGAAAAGGTGAGAGAGATTGATTCCTTCCGCTCCTGTCCTTTCCTTCATTACCCAGAGGAAAGGCTCACAGATTGCTCGTTCATAGCTCAGATTAGATCAGACATAAAATGGGTACTTTCAAACTTAAGCCATAATAGCCACATGGACTTCATTTATAACACTATTGCATTGCTTTGGTGTAAATACAAAAGTATTTTACATGCCGCCATTTTGTTTTCGCAAGCGACAACAGTATAGCCAGTTCTAACGCGATGGCAAAAGCTCGAGCAAAGCATACAAACTCTTCGTGTAGCCCTCAAACCGTATTCACTTTATAGCCCTTAATCCTGTAATTGTGGACAAATGTGGGCACAGAGGACTCAGGTGTGATCCTAATTTTTATTTATTATAAATGTTATACATCACTGTCTTCGATAAAGTTTTGTCTATCCATTTATGGTGTTTTTTTTTTATTTTGGGGGTATTTTTGAATTTATTTACTTCAAAAAGTACCATATTTTCTATGTAAATTATTTCTATGTGAATTAATTACTATGTAGTTATTATTTTACATTTTTTTAACTACATTAAAATATCATTCCAATAAGTTTTGGAGTGACTTTGCGGTCACCATGGTGTCTTATTTTGGCTTATTTTAGAATGCTCTAAATTACAGTTTTTCTTCATTCATTTCTATGGGTGCCCATTTTTGACCCAAATACAAGATTAAAAGGAGGTTTTTACTTTCACCCAGTTAACATTGTAGAATTGAGTAAAAAAAAAAAAGTGTGTGTTCAGGAGGCAAACTTAGGAAAAGTAGCCAAGTCTTGAACCGCTCAGATCAAGGGAAGTATTTTTTAAAAATAAATCAAAACTATTTTGCCCACATTTGTCTTAGGGGTAAAAGATCCGCTGTCTTTTGAACGGAGGCGGGGAGCTCCAGCTCATTTGCATTTAAAGGGTACCACACAAAAACTGTGCGTTTTTGCTCACACCAAAAAAGGGGCAAATTTGACAAGCTATAATAACTGATCTGGGGAAGATTTTGAGCTGGAGACTGATCTCCTGAAATGGCGTATGTATGACACGCCAATTCGTATTTACATTTTTGGCGTGCAATCAACACGCATAATCGCTTTTCAGCGTGTTTATGAATGCCGTTGTCTTAACATTACATTACTGTACATATAAATATATGACCTACCCCAACCCCATCCCTAAACCTACCCGTCACTGGGGTTAATAGCATTAATGAGTCTTCCCCTACCATCCTAGGGAAAAAAATATATCGCTCCCATGTAGATCTACACGCGGAATCACTCGGACATTAAAGGTGTAGACATACACGCATACACGCGGATAGCTCAAAATGTGTATAAATAATAATATAATATGTACTTGACTTGAAAGTGGCGTGTATATTTACGCAAAAGTCATGATGTCATGTTGTGAGCTGAAATTTCACAGACACATTCTGGGGACACCATAGATTTATATTACATCTTGTGAAAAGGGGCACATAATAGGTCAATTTTAAAGAGATTGCATTTGCAGGCCAAGTGTAAACCTCCAAGCCAAAAGTAATGCAATTGTTTTGGAATAGAAAGAACCAACTGACAGACAAAGAATATATAATCGTATTATTTATCCTTTTAATTTCAACATCTAATTTATCTTAACTCAGACACATGTAAGATCAAGCAGAAGAAATAAGTATAAATCTCCCTCGAACATAACTTCTGTCTTACAAACAATTTGAGACTGTAAAGATGTATCTGTCCTGTGGGTGTTGTTGATCATGCAACAGGCGGCTTTAAATCACACAGAACAAACAGCAGCTTCTCTCTTGCCGTCCCCCATCGGGCCCATATAGCCGAGATCACAGCTCCCGAGTCTCCATGGCATCCTGTGGAACCTCAGCTGTCAAGAGTTTTGATGTCTTAATAAATTTCTCCTCTCTCCAGCTGTCAGCCAAGCGTCAGAGATGGATGAAAGAGTCAGTGACCTTTGACCTGCCCAAGACCTCTTCTTCAGCCCCCCAAAAACTCTCACAGACAGAACCTCGACTCTATTGCAACTGCAGATTCCTTTCAGCACAACGTCAACCCTGAAGAAGCCCAACAATAGTGTCGACGGCGGCATCCCACAGATAGTTTCACATGCAATGCATTGCTGTTATTCACACAGTACTGCTAATGTATGTACAGGGGAAGCTTTTTCTAAATAACATACATTAAATGTAATGTTTTTAGCAGCAAATTGTCCTCAAGCAGACCTATTAACTGTGTGTGAGATTTCGTTAGACATGGCTATGCTAGGGCTGTCAAATGATTAATCGCCATTAATCGCATCCAAAATAAAAGTTTGTGTTTACATAATATATGTGGGTATACTGTGTATATTATTTTGTCTGTGTGTGTGTGTATATATATATATATATATATATATATATATAAATACACACACATCACATGCATGTATATTTAAGAAAAAATATTATTTATATACAAAATATTTATATTAATATATATATTATAAATTATATATAAATCTATATACAGTATATACATGAAAATATTTCTTAAATATATACAAGCATGTGTGTGTGTATATATATATATATATATACACACAGACAAAATATACACAATACACCCACATATTTTATGTAAACACAAACTTTTATTTTGGATGCGATTAATCGCGATTAATCTTTTGAAAGCCCTACTATATGGTGTGCAAAATTCTTGTGTTTCACTATTTTACGTTTTCGCCTCATTTTAAAGTAAATGGAAGAAGCAGCGATATAATGGAGGAGAAACCATAAAACTACATGAATAAAAAAACTTTTGTTACTTTTTAAAAAAAAAAATTAAAACAATTCTTTACTGAACTGTTAATTTAAAAAAAATACATATATAATACACATTTAATTATATTTAGTTACACAATGTGGTGATTTAAATAATCTAATTACCACTGACATCCATGGTAGGAAATACTGGAAATGTCACAAAAAAATATCAATGCAAAGAGTGAAAACAACCCATAACATGTTGCTATTTAGTTTTAAATTTTCAGAATAATTAATGTGGATTCAAATGCCATCAATATTCATGTAAGCCAAAAATCCGAATAACTAATAAACACATTTCCCCTCAAAAAACTAAAGAAATTCAAATCATCGTGGACTTAAGGAAACCTGAAACAACTCCAGATGACTGCACTTGTGGCCTGATCGAGAACGTAACCTCTGATCTTTGACCTCTCGGGGCAAAGGTCAAGGGTGGCACCGGCTTTCCCTCATCATCGCGATGGAAACCACGAAAAGTGTTTGCAGAGCGTCTTCGCGGCACATCTACAAATAGCAGCACATGTCTAGAAGTCATTAAGCACAAGAGAAGTCCTACTTTCCCTTTTCTCTGTCAACACTTCTGTGTGACACGTATTTATTATTGTCACAGGCTCTTATTTGGCTTGATCTATGGCAGAATGAGATGTCAGTTTTAAAGATAATTACATTTTTTTCTCCTCCAAGGATCCATTCATCACACTCGGGGCCCTCTGCCATTTTTAGATTCTTGATAACATGCCTCAACTCATTCCATCTTTCTCTCGTGATCCCTCTCACACACATCCAGAGTGAGTCACATCCTATTATGTGGCATGAAGTTGCCAAAAATTTGTTAATTACAAATCCAGAGCCTAACTAGTATGATTATAATGAACTTAGTTCCGTGAGAGCGCTTTGTCGAGGACAGCACTCTCCTCTCGTCCTCTCTGTTTGTAATCACATCTCTTGTTCTCACGTAATGGTCTCATGGGAGGAACAATCTCAGTTCTCATTATTATACAACCACAAATGCTGATAAACCAATCAGAAGTGCTATTATTACCACTTGATGACAGACGTTTGAAAGAAGGAAAAAGATGGATGGATGGTAAAAGTGAATTTGAAATTAACAAACGTGATGCACAATTGGAATTTGCATGTAAGGAAGTAGTATTAAAATGAATAAAAAAAAGAAACTCATAACTCATAACATAATTTTTAAATAGAAACTCTTTGAAATAGTTTAAGTAGATGTTGGAAAAATTTATAATGCAACAAACACCACCACCCAATTTTTCAGCGGCCTCGAATCTGGAAGTATTTTTCCCATTCACTTATTTTTCAAAAGTCTTCATTTAAGAGTTATAACTAAGCCATGAACCAAGTCAACCAGCCCTGAGATTAAAGGAGTCGTTCACTTTAAAAAAAAAAAAAATTGCTGATAATTTACTCACCCCCATGTCATCCAAGATGTCCGTGTCTTTCTTTCTTCAGTCGAAAAGAAATTAAGGTTTTTGATGAAAACATTCCAGGATTTTTCTCCATATAATGGACTTCAATGGGAACCAAACGGTTCAAGGTCCAAAAGACAGTTTCAGTACAAACTGCAAACTGTTCAAAGGGCTTTAAACGATTGAAACGATGAATAAGGGTCTTATCAAGCGAAACGATTGCTCATAAAAAAAAAAAAAGTTTAATTTTTATAAGCTCAAATGGTCGCCTCTGTTCTGTGATGCGCGTTCGTGATCGTGACTCTCCTGTTCAAACTTTTCCCGAGTCAATTCCTTCATTTCGTTCATTGAATGAACCAAATGACACGAAAAAAGATTTGTTCATTTTGATAAATGAGTTCGAACAGGAGATTCACGAACGAGCAGTAGCAGTAAATAATTAAGGAGATTTCTTTGCAGAATCATGGGTAATGTAGTTTATCACCAGGAATTTTGATAATAATGCAGCCTAATGGCTTCAGCAAAAGCATTTCACCAATTGATTAACAACTTGTAGCTCACTGTACTTCCATATTTAATGTGGCATGTTCAAACGACCTGTTTTACAGAATCAGGAAGTCTGTTTGTTTGTGCATGACAAAATTTGCCCAAGATCGGTTGTGCTAGTTTGATCAGAAGCGTCTTACCTTGACATTGCTCATTCCTTTCCTCGTATCCAGGGTTACACAGGCAATTCCCGATGGGCACCAGCCACTCTCCATCTGCGCCACAGTACATTTTGGGAACCTCCTGCTCTTCCGAATTATTCACACAGGAGCCGCGCACCTCCACCAGGGACGACGTGTCCGCCCCAGTTACGGTGTCAGGAAACTGCGCTAGGTTCCTCACGGCTAGCGGACACTTTTTATAAAACACACGGACAGAAACCAGCGCGATACAAGCTCCTACATCCTGAAAGGCCAGATAGAAGCCCGCGTGGCTCATGACGCCGACATCCCGAACCTCAGTGTTCAGCTTCATGATCCGATCACCGATATCCACCTGCGTGAAGCTCTCGTCCGCTGCCACCGTGTCGATCTTAGCAAAGTGGCTCTCGTGAGCGTAGCGCTCGTTATCGGAGTCAGACTCGAGGTAGTAGAGGTTGAACGTCTCTTTGCATGTGCCGATGACGCCGGGCAGGCTGTTACAGTCACGCAGGGTGAATTTAATCTCGATGTAGATACGCTGGGCCGGGCCACGCCGTATCCAGTGAGTCCTGAGCCAGTTGTTCTGACTGGGCTCCATGACGTTACACACCTGGTATGTTCTGATGGGGATGTTCTTCTCGTCCATGATGCTCACCTCTTCCCACTGCGGGAGACAGCACAAGAACAATGTTAGGAAGGAGAAATAAATAAATGATTTTTAAATTTTTAAGACCTTCTCAATTCTGTAGGAGATACAGGTGGAGCTGGGGAAGGAGGAGGGTTTCTGAAACCACGCTGCAAATGCTGACTAAGTATATGAAAGTTGAGCAGTGAGCTCATTGGCTACTGATACAGCAGGAACCAATCAGATGTGGCCTATAGAGAATGATGTGTAAATGAAATGTAATGAGACAAAAAAAACAAGTCTTACTACTGAGTTGTCTTTTTCCGATTCACAAACAAATTACTTTTTTCCTGAAACTTTTGGATTGTTGGATTCACAATTAAATTCTTTAATGAATTTACTCACAAAGACGAGTCACTTTTTAAAAATAATGACAAATGACAATGAAAATAATTTAATTTCACCTGTGAAATGTTTTTAATGTTAATTCCACTTTAAGCTTAGGCTACTGTATGTCCTCATGTATCCTAATATGGATGTTTTGTGTTAGCGAAAATGTTTGTTAGTACTTTTCTGCTTATTTATATGATTATTAGGGCTGTCAAATGATACAAAATAAAAGTTTGTGTTTACATAATATATGTGGGTGCACTGTGTATAATTATTTTGTATATATAAAACACACACATGCATGTATGTAAAATATTTATATTTAAATATAATATAAATTATATATAAATCTATATACATGAAAATATTTCTTAAATATATACAAGCATGTGTGTGTATTTATTTATATATATATAAAATAATTATACACAGTGCACCCACATATATTATGTAAACACAAACTTTTATTTTGGATGCGATTAATCGTTTGACAGCCCTAATGATTATCAATAAAATCAAAGAAGGTTATTTTATCAACCAGTTATGAAAGAATTTGTGATGAAACCAATCAATCAATTCCAATCAGAGCATCCCTATGAAAAAAACTGAGATACATAAAGTATTGGTATCGGACGATATGTTGATTTTTAATGTTATCGTTATCGGCCTGATAAGAAAATTTGGTCCATATATTAAAACCGATAAATAATGTATTATATCAGAGTTTTGAATTGCTTGAAATATGATGGGAATCACTTCAAAAAGGAAAACAGTCAAGTGCAACACAAGTCTGTCGTATATAGACTACATAAAATTATAATTCGAATATTATAATTATGGGCTTGGGAGATGACTTTTAATGGCAAGGCTTTTGTTTTTGTAATCAGGCTCTCAAAATGTATATAAAAATTTGTATTTAGATATATCGGCTAATGAAACGGTTATCAGCTTTCAAATATAAATAATTAACGTTTATTGGTATCGACCAAAATTTCAAATCGGCGCATCCCTAATATAAAGTATGATACTCGCTAGAGACTCCTGAGAAACATAAAATAACCGATCAATTAACTAAACAAACATGAGGTCATCCAGAGTGAAAACGGGACTGAACCATGGGAAGCTGTAGAGTAAATTTAGATCTGAAACATAACATCTGTTTCACTCTTGCAGGCTTGGTTAAGTTTGCCTGAACCAACCTCCGAAAATCAGTATTCTTCTTCTTCGACTAGCCTCGCATACAATAACAACTCTAGACAGTCATTAATGTTGTACAGCCTAACACTTCTCAGCGTCTGCTAAACCAGCGTTACAGCCACTGATTGGACTCATTGAGTTTTCATCAGCTAATCAGCAGTAATGACTTTTATTACAGCAAATGAACACACTCTAAACACATGCTAATCCCCAAGAGTCTGACTGGGTATCATGTTAACCTGCGGTCAATAGTTTGGAATAATTAAAAAAATAATAATAATTATGTGCCTGGAAAGAAGTATCTTATGGAAGCTTGTTTCTCTCACTGAATTAAAAAAAATAATAATAATTGTGACTTTTTATCTCATAATTGCAAGATATGAAGTCAGAATTGTGAGATATTACGTCAGAATTCTGAGAAAAAAAGACAATTGTGAGATTTTTTCTCACAATTGCGAGTTTACATCTCGCAATTCTGAATTTATAACACATAATTGCAAGTTAATATGTCAAAATTCTGACATCTTTTCTCAGAATTGTGAGATTTAATCTCGCAATTGCGAGTTATCAGGTGAATTCTAAGGAGAAAAAAGACTAAAAGTAAATTCTGACTTTCTATCACGCAATTCTGACTTTATATAACGCAATTCTGACTTTATTTCTCGCAATTCTGACTTTATATCTCGCAATTATGACTTTATAACACGCAATTCTGACTTTATATCACGCAATTGCGACTTTATATCGCGCAATTATGACTTTATATCGCGCAATTGCGACTTCATATCACTCAATTGTGACTTTTTATCACGCAATTCTGAGAAATAAAGTCAGAATTGTGAGATAAAAAGTCACAATTACCTTTTTTATTTTTCATTCTGCGGCGGAAACAAGCTTCCATAGTATCTTACGCTCACCATGGTTGCATTTATTTTATTAAAAATGTAAAATCGGCAATATTTGTGAAATACTTTTCAAATTTAAAATATTTTTTTTCTATTTTAATATATTTCTAAATGTAATTTATTCCTGTGATCAAAGCTGAATTGTCAGCATCATTACGCCAATCTACAGTGTCGCATGATCCTTCAAAAATCATTATAATATGATTATTCTAATAAAAGATAATAAAAAAAGAAAATCATAATTATTCCAAACTTATGATGGTGGTGTAAGTGCATTACTACTTTGCCATTTGACCATGAACTATATGCATTAATTGATTTACCAGACGATTTTATCCAAAGTGACTTACAAGTGTGTGCATCTCAGTTAATAAATGATTAGCAATTTTTATAAAGCAAAAAATGTTTTTTGTCAAAAATCTATGGTGCCAAATAGGCATTGTGTAGTGTGATGTCCAATGAATGCATATGCACAATACCAATATAATATCTTTTTAATTTCTCCCTGTGATATCAGCAGCCACAGTCCAACAAAGACCATCCTGACGGCCCTTAATAATCTCCAGGAATTATTCACCGTGCGCTAAACCTAATTGAGCGTTTGTGGGATAATAAGACTGACAGCGATCTGGCATCCGTCAAGGACCGCGATTGTCTCCGTTCGGCTCGTCCCTTCATCCGTGTAACTACGGAGGCCCAGAGGAGCAGCGCAGAGATAAGAACCCGGAGCTGCCGATAGCGGGACGAGAGGAGAAAGGAGCTAATTGGCCGTATTAAAGTCTGAATACCCGCCCACCGTCCATGCCAAAGACCTGTCCATCACGGAGAAGATCACAGAGGGAGAGGAACTCAGGAGCTCAATGAAACTTGGATCGATGCGAAAGGAAGCCGAGCGGCTCTGTAGTGAAAGGGAATTCAGTGTGTTATTGAATCGCTGATGTGGTAATTTAGATCCACCTGATCTTAAGATGTTAAACGGCTAATTGGTGATGAGGGGCTCCGAAAAGTGCAGAGATCCCAAGAAGCATACATTATGGGACAGAACCCGCTGACCCCCTCGATCTGAAATCTCACTCACACACACACACATATACACACACTCAAACAGACCTTTTCTCTGCCTCTGGGTTGCCAAGTCTCTCCCCCCTACCTCTTTTGAGAGAAAAGGGATAGAGTTTCCTAACAAAGGGCATTTCTGTCTCCCTCTACTATTTAGGAAATTTGACGCCCGTCGCTGTAACCTAGCTTTCCAAAATTTACATCCGAGAGAAGTAGGGTGATCTCATTCGTATTTGGAGGTATTCGTACGTGACATGAACATTTTTTGGACAATGAAACGTAGAAGATCAACTTACTGACAGCATTCAAAACGCATACGATCCGTAAAAGTCTATAAATCCCTTTGAAAACTGGTGCTGAAACAGTGAGTTTAAAACTCAAACACAATCCCATGGCACTTCTGAGTAAAGGACAAGAAACTTTTGCCTAAAAAGGCATTATAAATGGAACATTTATTTATTAAATAACAATGGATCTGAACTCTGAAACAGTTTATTTGAGTATGTTTTACAAGAAAATACTCTTTCAGTCTTTCTACTTAAAAGTTTAATGTTTAATTCATAGTGTTACTTGTCATTATTTGAGAAATTTAGAAGCAATTTCTGAGTGCAAATTGTTTCAAAGCAAATCCTACACTAGTGTAGTGTAGTTTAACCATCAAATTAGAAAAAAAAAAAACTGTTAACAAATTTGTTAAATATATGTGATGTTTAACATCTTCAATTAATCTTAATAATAATACAATGCAATTTACCCATTAATATAATATTCTGTGAACTTCAAATAATTTGTAAATATTTGCAAGCCTTAAAATGCCTTCAGTACATTGATATTGTATCACTAAAAATTAAGGTTCCAAAAGGTCGTTTTCACAGTGATGTCATAAAAGAACCATTCTAGGTTCCATAAAGAATCCATTTCACTCTAAAGAACCTTTCTAACATTCTAAAGAGGTTCTTCAAGCTTTATGTTTAGGAGTGTTTTTATCTTGCATATTGTATTATATATAGGCCTATCTAAACAAATGTGCTAGAACTATATGTATGAATAAGAAAATGTGCTAGAACTATAAGTATGAATAAGAAAATGTGCTAGAACTATAAGTATGAATAAGAAAATGTGCTAGAACTATACGTATGAATACTAAAGAGGTCAAGTTGGAACAGGAGATGGAGAAAGAGGGAGCGAGAGACGGGTTTTTTTAACTCACCCCTCCTTCCGTCGGGCTGGCGACCCATGCCAGTTCTCCCAGCACTGATCTGGAATCCAGCAGCGGGACTGAAGGAGAATAAGACAGAAGACTTGAGAATGAGATCACCAAAGCTTGTGTGTTTTACCCTATAGTGGAGAAAACTGAAGGCATACATCGCTGATAAATAATGACAACAGCTGCAAAGGAGGCCAAAAAGTGTCAGGCAAGTGCACAAGGGTTTGATCTGTGAGCACTGACTTAAGTTGGAAAATGGTTTATAAGTCATTAAACAATAGTAATCGACAAAGGAATGATCAAATTTCAATTTAAGAGACAAAGAAATATAAAGAGTTTTTTTGTTGTTGTGAAAATTACTAAATAATTGCTAAAACACTCCAGACCACACAAGAGATAATTATAAAGCAACAGTTATTTTTATGTTTAGGATAATATTTCCAGAAATCAAATTATTACTATTTCATTATTGTGACGGCAAGACAAAAAAGGGCCTAGATTACCTTCAAGGTAAATTTAAAGACAATATGACATTAAATAGCCAACTAATTAGGGAAGGATAAACTTCTAATGAATAAGATCTTTTAAAAAAAAACTAAAATGTGAATAATTCATATGTGGAACATCTATATATGAATAGTATTTTTGTTTTAAATCGGTTAACATATGTCAATTGTCCTGCTGTTTATATACGTTACTAGTACTAGGCTACATTATTTTTCCAAGACATCATTATCAACAAACTCCTTTAAAACTTCTTTAAAACTCCTTAACATTTTTAAGCAATTTAGGCCCAAGTTTTCTTAACTTGAGGGATTTGTTAACTGGCCAATATCGTTACCGTTTTGCTTGCATGTGCGCCTGGGTTTAACTGTCTGTGAGCCCTAAACTTTTCCTCTTTTATCAAAACCCCTCTTACCTTCATTCGCCGGATAATTCCATGAAGCGGACAGACCTGCACAAATCCCCAGGAAAAGTGAGGTGAGCGCGTAAATAATCCCGGCCATGAGTGCCATTCGTCCAGCTAACCGTCTCTCCGTTATTCCTGTTTATTCCTCGTGCTGCTCCGCGCGACTGATCTTGAGGCGCACGAGACGCTCACTCAGCGATCTCTGCTGGAGGGGGCGTGGCATCTGTAGTGACGTACCCATCAATCAATCAAGAAAGATATTATTTTGAAATTATGTATCGTATGCATTTGTTTATTTCTATTACTTTTATCATTTCTTGTCAATGTTCTTCTGTTATTGTTGTCCAAGCATTATTATTAATAATAAAAAGTTTCTTCGGAAAACAAATATGTAGATTACACATAAAAAGTAGATTGTCTAAAATAATTATAATAATAACAACTATTATTAATATTAATAATGTAAACATGTTATGTATATTTTATGCTTGTAGGTACAAAAAAATTGCATTAGGTTGGATTCAAATTACTATTATTTAAAATAGCTTTAATTTAATTACATACAGCATATATGTGTATTATGTAATATTTTGTTATTTAATTATAGCTAACTATTATACCTTCATTTTAAACATTTAACCATTTCAATTATTAAAAATATTATAAAATATGCATCGACCAATAATAATATAAAAAAATAAAATAATAAACATTATGAATAAATGATATAATAAGATGATAATGTTAAGGATACAAAATTCTATTATTTTGAAGTATTTCAACATTATTATTATTATAATGATTAGCAGAGCCGGGTATTGAATCGAGCTCTGATCTTATATCGCCATCTAGTGTCCATATCTCCACAGAACAGGCTTAACAAACAGCATTATCAAAATGGCTCACGCGCAAACCAGCAGCAAATTAACCGTGACGTGGTGGGATGATGTTTCATTTCTTTCATCCACAATCGACTGGGTGACTTGTCATATTCAAGACACAAATAAAAGAAACCCAATATGTCGATATTATGCTGTTTGTTGTTGGTGAAAGACACATTTTTAGGGCATCTGTTTGGATGCCTCTGGGGTTAAGGGACCCTCGGCATTTTATTATTTAACTATTTTTTGCCCATTTCACCGTAAAGTAGGCTAAAATGCTCGTATTGACTGAATTCCACCTGACACCGGTTCCTCTCACGTATCCAGACGCATCTGCCCGTCACAGTTACTTTCTTTTCCTCGGGGTAGGCCTAGTGTGGGAGATGTTTCATCTCCAGCTGACTGAATTCAATAGTTTTTCATGAGTGGATCCTGACCTCCATCGAGGGTCATGAGCTGCTCTGTGGACAGAGAGAGGCGGCGAGACCCCAGGGAGCCTGTGGAGTCTCTCTCTCTCTCTCTCTCTCTCTCTCTCTCTCTCTCTCTCTCTCTCTCTCTCTCTCTGTGTGTGTGTGTGTGTGTGTGTGTTTGTGTGTTTCTGTTTATATTACATTGTGTGGACCCCACAAGTATAGTAAAATCTGAAAATGACCTACATTGTGGGGTCCAGCGGCCCCCCTGAGGAAAACAGCGTATAAATCATACTAATTAATGTTTTTTTGAAAATGTAAAAATGCAGAATGTTTCCCGTGAGGGGTATAGGTTTAGGGATAGGGGCAGGGTAAGGGGATAGAATATACAGTTTTTTTTTTCTTTTCTTTTTAATATACAGTTTGTACAGTATAAAAACCATTAGGCCTGTGGAGAGTCCCCACAAAGATGTGTGCGCCTGTTTGTGTGCGTGTGTGTGTGTGTGAATGAGAGGCAGCTGTTCTTCACTGACTGAATGTGTGTGTTCAGGTTTGATTGCCTGTTTCATCCTGGATGCAATACATTTACAGCCAGGGCAGAACCCTGACAATGTGTGTATTTTTATTTGAGGATGTCATTTTAATAATTTGTACTGTAAAATAATTTGTGTGTGAAACACACTCTAAAAAAATGCTGGGTTGTTTTAACCCAATTTTGGGCAAACCCAAACATTGGGTTAAAAAGTTATTTTAAAAATAAGTTTTTTTTAACCCCACCAGGTTCGTTTGTCCATGTTTGACCCAAAGTTGGGTTGAAACAACCCAGCATTTTTTAGCAAATATTTACTTATTATCCGTAATATTATTTAAAGGTATTATTATTATATTTTATTCTACACTCTAAAAAATGCTGGGTTGTTTTAACCCAATTTTGGGTCAAATATGGACAAACCCGAAATGTTGGGTTAAAAATGTAATGTAAAAATTTAACCCAACGGCTGGGTTAGTCCATATTTGACCCAAAGTTGGGTTAAAACAACCCAGCATTTTTTAGAGTGTATACACTCTAAAAATGCTGGGTTGTTTTAACCCATTTTTGGGTAAAATATGGATAAACCCAGCCGTTGGGTTACATTTTTAAATTACATTTTTAACCCAATGGCTGGGTGTGTCCATATTTTACCTAAAATTGGGTTAAACAACCCAGCATTTTTTAGAGTGTAATAACATACCTACACTCTAAAAAATGCTGGGTTGTTTTAACCCAATTTTGGGTCAAATATGGACAAACCCGAAATGTTGGGTTAAAAATGTAATGTAAAAATTTAACCCAACGGCTGGGTTAGTCCATATTTGACCCAAAGTTGGGTTAAAACAACCCAGCATTTTTTAGAGTGTATACACTCTAAAAATGCTGGGTTGTTTTAACCCATTTTTGGGTAAAATATGGATAAACCCAGCCGTTGGGTTACATTTTTAAATTACATTTTTAACCCAATGGCTGGGTGTGTCCATATTTTACCTAAAATTGGGTTAAACAACCCAGCATTTTTTAGAGTGTAATAACATACCTACACTCTAAAAAATGCTGGGTTGTTTTAACCCAATTTTGGGTCAAATATGGACAAACCCGAAATGTTGGGTTAAAAATGTAATGTAAAAATTTAACCCAACGGCTGGGTTAGTCCATATTTGACCCAAAGTTGGGTTAAAACAACCCAGCATTTTTTAGAGTGTATAATAAACCTGATGCTCACTGTAGGCCTACTTTATGAAACATGATTTCAAATGTTGCTGTGTGGCTTGTACAAACAGCCTTTTTATATAAAAGACTTTTATTATCTGTTCAACACACCAATGATCTGGCTTTTTTTCAGTTACATGCAGTCGTGTAGAGTTAAGATCAGACTGAACCTCTGGTCCCATAATTATGTATTTATGTGTCATCTAAATCTCTGCTAAATAGCTTTTCATTCTCACACAACACCTTATAAGTATAAAACAATGGAAGGATATCATTGACTGTGTTTAAATGAGATGATACTCTGAACCATGAATGATGCTCAGGAAAATGTATTTTTATTTGCTCCAGTATAAGCAGACATGCTGACATTAGTTTACTATAACAATAACTATCAAGCACACACAATATCACAATTTAGGCTATGCATTTTACAGACTGTAGAATTTATTTGCCAATTTTAATGTTTACTGCAATTGCTGTAAAAAAAAATTTTTTTAAATCATCAGCTAAATAAAACCGTATATATGTGTGAGGAAAGCCAATGTCACGTTTAAGCATCAGAGGGGGTCACATCTGTGCGTGTTTATCACACAAAGATAATTTGGCAAGTGCGGGGCAATAACATTCAGTCTGTTTTTCAGCGCCTGTTTATCATCATGTTGCCAGATGTATCGGAATGCAAGCGCTTTGATTCCCTCATAGTTTCGTAACCCTACAAGATTGGCTTGAATGTTGTATGGCCCATTTGATAGGCATGTTGTCAAACAGGGTGAATTCACAGAGAAATAAACCACACATTGATTTGGAACATTCAAGATGTTCCCCAGAAGATTCCTCAGGCGATACTCTGAATGTTGGTTTGGATAAGCCTTTGCAGCTACGAGGTTATCCTCGTCATAAACCCCATTGCTCTGAACAGTGTTTGTCACTCGGGCCAGTAAGTTCTGATCTGGAAATGTAGAGTTTTCAAGACATATGTTCCTGTCGACTCTGAACACAACAGTGTATTGTCCTAAACCCAAGCTGGAAATGAAAGCAGTGGAAATTTAATGTTGTATGTTAAAAATTACAAATATTAATATGAGTAATGCATTAGTATGTAATTGTGTATTTTTATTTTTTATTATAAATATATGTAAAGTTTAATGTTAAAATTATACATGATTATTTAATTCTAAAAGACAAATAACTTATTGTTCCACTACTTTTTCGTTTTTCTCTTTATATAGGCTAGTTCTTGTCATTTCATTATATATTTTTGGTTGTGTATATGTCATTTTATTTTTTGTAAATTCTACTAATATGTTCAATCAAAGACACTTAGCCTACTTTTGATGAAATCGCGTAATAATACGCTGCAGGATTACTGGGTCCACATCCTCACTTACAGCACGAGTGCTAAAGTGAAGCAGGCAGAGCAGGAGGATCCTCAGTGGAGCAGAGAAAACCTCAAGAAAACACACAGACACAAATACAAACAATTTATACAAAATATGCACAGTACACACAAAGTGCATAGTAATTAAAAACAGCATTCTGTTTGTTGTAGGAATGGGATTTTCCTTGAGATGTTGTGGCCACTTTTCTGATTATTTTTGGTAAAAATTATTGATTATCAAAACATAAATAAATAACGGAGCAAATGTGGTGCTTTAGCTCCACTAACAATTATTAATTGATAAAGAAGGATGAATACGACTCACCATGTTATCTGTTGCTGAGATGAGAAGGTTCAGAGATGTTGTGTGAGTCTGCAGTGAAGTAGCAGTGAAGAAGAGGAAGAACATGCTTTTTATTCTGACACTCGACCAGCCCTCTTCTTCACCACCATGAAAAGACCAATTAAAACGGTTCACACTTACATCACTGACTCCTTTAATGTCACTGAGCGTGTGTGTCTCGCCATGTACGGTACTGTATGTTGGACTTCCTCAAAAAATGGTCATTAAAAAAATAAATAATTCCTCCAAGAACTCTGAAAACGGTCATGGGTTCCTCCAATAAAGATAGCCCAGTAAAATGGATTTGAGGCAGAGAATGGGCCTCATTGGGCCTCAAAAATAATGTGCAGGAACATAAATATGAAAATTAAATATGATCTTACATTGTTATTTTAATGTGATTACAGTCACAATGAATAGAATTTTTTCTTTCTTTCTTTTTTTTCTATTTCATTCCCACAGCCATTGTTTTAGATCAGGGGTCACCAAACTTTTTTCTCTGGGGGCCACATTATTGTTCCTGACTGTGATGGGGGGCCGGGCTATATAAAATAGAATTGTGTGACCAAGACCAAACTGACCACCAGCAGGCCTCATAGTAGAGATTACTAGCCTGGCACAGCCATATTTGTTTATCATTAATAGTTGTTTGCAAAAGTAGTAATCGAGTCTTCACACTTTGTTTTAATTTGAAATACCACAGATTTTCCATTTATTTATTTTCGAATACAAATAACATCAAACCTGTCAAGGTAAGAAACATCTGCCTAGTTGAGGTGAGTGGCACTGGTAAGGATGAATGAAAAATTATAAATTATAGGTAGGCCTGTTACTATTTATAATAATTGTGTACAGCACTTAATAAAGGTCAAATAAATAGGCCTATAAAATAAATAAATAAACATTGAAATTATAACAACAACATGAGTAATAGAACTAGTCAGCTCTTATGCCTATCCAGGTGAGCATGCTCAATAAACAACAAAATACCAAATGCAGACATGTTATTATTTTCCAAAAAGCAATTTAAAAAAATAGGCCATGACGACTTTTGGGGATTGCCGGTTCAAGTAGTGGGGGGCAGAGGGGTTGGGGGGCCAGTCAAAGGGGTGTGGCGGGCCTGATTCGGCCCGCGGGCCTTAGTTTGGTGACCCATGTTTTAGATGAATATCTGTCCACAGCTTTATTAGCAGAGCGAAACGAAGCAGGAGACAACAGGTGAGGAACAACAACACAGCAAATCAGTAAAGCTTAACTGAATGGAAACAGTCCTCCTTTCTCTTTCTCTTTCTCTTTCTCTTTCTCTCTCTCTCTCTCTCTCTCTTGCTGATATCGATGAAGGAAGATCGGGGAAGAAGGAAGCGGTAAGCAGTAGCATCTCAGGTAAGTGTTCGGGGAGTCTGTGATCAAGAACCGATAAGTGTCCGTATATAGGCAGATCTGGTGATGGGATACAGGTGACGGTGATTAGTAGTCCTTGGGATAATGAACTGGACAAACGCTGAGTGGGCGGCAAGAGAGAATGAGTGACAGGTGATGATGCACGATGTGGGGATGGAATCCTGACAATATCAAATATGCAATAGGTGTATATGACTATCTTCTTTCAGACAATCTGACACAATCTGAGTTATATTTAAAACTGTATTTGCTCTTCTAAGCTTTATAATGGGAGTAAATGGAGGGTGAGATTTTAAAAGCCCCCCCCAAAAAAGCAAAGCGATGCGTTTGTGTAATACTTTTTTTTGTGTGTGTTCTTCAATACGTGTGGGTCGGGTCAAAGGTCACTCTTCCGCCGCAAATCGCTGCGTATGGCCTTCTGCTGCACGCAAGTTATTTTCTAATAAAGTTTTAAATATAGATATGTTTCTTAAAAAAACCCATCGCTTCGCTTCAGAAGGCCTGTATTAACCCCCATAACCCACATGGATTATATTTATGATGAATGCCTTCAAAATCTCGCCCCCAATTTACTCCCATTATAAATCTTGGAAGAACCAGGATATTTAGGGCCTGAGCACCGATAGCTTGGGCTCTTTTAGTGTCGGTACTAATAATCTCCTGTTTGCCTGTTGTCTTTTACACAATGCCTCTAGCTCCAGTGTGAGGATTGCTGCTGGATTGGCATTGCTTGTATATCGTGGACTTTAGCTGGTACAATGTCTTTGTCTGTGTATAAGTTGCCAAAGAAGAATATGCTCTTGCTCTTCTGCTTGATGATACACGTGTCACTGTTAAACACCTGAGGTGTTTCCACAGCTTTTTCCATTATAGGCTTATCAGAGTACAACTCACGGCACAACTCTTCGGTAACACTTTACAATGCGGGTGCACTAATATGCATTAATTCACGCTTAACTAATACACTCATGAGTTAATGTATAAGTTAACTCATGAAGAATTAAACCATTAATGAATGATTATTGCATCAGCAACTAATAAAGAGTCTATATGATTAATAGATTAAGTACTACATGAATTGCTATTAATTCAATGTGTCATTGCTTATTAATTCCTTAATAACATATTTTATGAACTAATAGTGTAAATGAATGTGCTAATGACCACAGTTAGTCAAAGCTATGCACTTCAACTTCCAGTTGTCTGCTTTAATTAATCATTGGTTAATGATTTGCAAAGGTATCATTATGTTATGACTTTACTTGTTGGGGCACATCATTATTAACTAGTCATTTAGTAATTGTAGTAATTTGCACACGAATTTGCACTAACAATGAAGTAATTAATCATGTATTAATGCATATTAGTGTACCTTTCGTATTATCTGGAAGTTGAAATACAAGCCTTTGGCTCATTCTGGTAATTAACACTATTAGTTAAAAAAATGAGTTGTTATGGAATTAATCAACAATTGCATATTTAATTGATAACAATTAACAACTAATACATTAACCTTACAGACTCTTAATTAGTTCCTAATGTGGTAATCATTAATGAATAGCTTAGTTAATAATTAGTTACACATTAATAAAGTATTATCTGTGCATTAGTTAAGCATTAATTAATGCTTATTAGTGCACCAATATTGTAAAGTGTTACTGTTTTTTCTTCACTGCACGAACACTCATGTGAATTATTCTATAGTTGTTCACCTCCAAAACTCAACCAACAAAGCATTTCATTTATGTCTCAAAATAAACTCGTTCCAGCATAAAACTGCCATCAAATCTCACCCAGAAAGCATACATTGTCACTCATAACTAACACCTACAACAGGGAATACAACAATGATTATGAAATTTTATTTTTCACATATCAGTTTTTCATTTTAGAATAAGAATAGCATCTTTAAATTTGTATTACAGCAGTTGTACTAACAAGAATCAATAAGAAATGCTGTTATGTGTTTTTTTTTCTTCTATATATTTACACATAGTAATTTACTTGCAATAATTATAATATGATCAGTGAAATGCAACAGTATTTATCAGCTTGATCTGTTTGGCCGTGTGAAAACAACAGATTTGATCAATATTGCAATGTGTTGCAGCACAACTGACAAACCAACACAATATAATGGAGTGAACTACTGGAGATTACAGTATTTCTTCGATTGCTTAAACGTGAAATTAAAAAGGCGTCTTTTCTCAAAACTCTAAACACAAATCCATAATTTCTCACCCATATCCTTAAAGGTATAGCGGAGGATTTTCTTTTTCCGGGTGGGTAGTCTATACTATTGGTCCACCTAAGTGTCAATCATTCTGGTGATATGTTTACGTAAGGCCGTCGTACGTGCTCATCCCTATGTAGTTTTCACTTTCAGGTGTATTATGTCGGAGTTACGGTTTCAGCCATTCCTTTGAAAATAGCTGAGGGTCGAAAGAGAAAAAATGTTTACGAAGTGTAAGAGAAAGGCCGCAGAATATAGAAACAAACCAGAGTGAATATCACACGCTGGCGTGCGCTAAAAGCACAGGTTGGGCTTCTCACTGATGCCGCAGTCGCGAAGATTCTACTAGACAGGTAAAGTTTGTCACGCTATTTGGAGAAATCCATTTAAAATCACTAGTAAAAGTTAATGCAAGCTACTTAGCAATGCTAGCCCTGGCACAAGTCATGCACCGGCATAGACACGGTAAACATCTCAATTCGTCTAAAGCCTTTTGACCAAATGGTAAATGGTATCACGCTGAAATATTCTAAAACCTTGTGTGTTTATTATTACACCAATGCAACAAGCTACTTCTCCATTACATATGCAACTATGTGTAAAGATAACGTATTAAAACCTACGACAATGAGAGATAGCACTGCTTATATGTTGCCATGTAACGTAATTGCGATTTGCAAAATAAAACGTATTTCGTGTGATACAGGGTTGTACATATCATGTCTTGAGTCCTCGGTCTCTCAATCGATCAGTATAATAAGTAAATAAAACACGGAAGGGCATTTGACATGTTGTCTTTTTTATGAATGTTTTTGAGTTAGTTTATAATTTGCAACATAATTGCGCGAGGCGTAATAGACGTTCCCTCTCGGGAGCAAGAGTGTTGTGTTTGTGCATGTGCATTTTTTTTTTTTTAAAAAATAGAGAGGGCGGGTCTCCTCTAAAATTCGGAAAGATCCTCCGCTATACCTTTAAATTTCCTATTTTCAGGTCAAAATGAAGCCGCCTCCAATCAAAACAATTGAATCTCTCTGAAAAAACAAACTTTGCCTTTCAGACATCACACACAAGACCTCAAACAAATACACACACACACACACACACACACACACACACATACATGCACACTACTGCTGAGATCATTTCAAAACAACACTACAAAAACCAAAAACCAATAATATGCAAGTTATGTTGCGTAACTTGTGGTTCTTCCTCTCAAAAAACTTTTCAAATGATGAACACAACAAATGTACGTACATTTTTATTCCTCAATGAACTTTACAGTATAATACACCAAACAACACATATTCTTACAGTAATAAGACTTCTTGGTTTAAGAATGTTTGGATAGTTTAGGAAACAAGACAAAAACACTATGCTGCGTCCCAATTCGCTTACTTATACTACGCCCTAAAAGTATGTACTCTTTTTGTGAGGAAAAATTACATACTTTTGAGTGTGTAGCAAAAGAGGCAAGCTTTGGGACGTACTTGTAGTTCTAACCGAATCCTCGTCCAACGCGCAATGGTTTGTGGGCAATATCAGCCGAGAGTGTGCATCGATCTACACTTCGGATTCTGACCGGAAAAAGTAGACCATCCGGGTATCTTTGAAACACTCATTTCAACATACTACGATTTGGGACGTACTAATTCTATTTTCGAATACTATTTAGGACGGATAGTATGCGAATTGGGACGCAGGGTAAGCAAGAAAAGCATTTTTGCAGTGTGTGCTGCGTCTCATCCTTTTTCTTCACACGACTTTAACAACTGCTAAAAACTGCCAGATCGTTCACATGTACAGAGATAAGACGTTGTGCTGCAACACATTGCAATGTTGACCACAACTGCTGTTTTCACATGGCCAAACAGATCAAGCCGTTAAACAGTGTCGTTTTTCACTGATCATGTTTATTATTATTATTGCCGGCCTAGCATTTCAGTTTCAAATTAAGTAAATTAAAAGGTAAAACAAGCAATTGAGCTCAGTGTCACATGTACGCCAAATTAGTGGCACCAACTCTTTGAAAGATGTAGTTTTGCTACATTGTAAAACAAAACAAACAAAAAAAAAAAAATTCTGAGCAGTAAATAAAACAGATTATTGATGTATTACAGGAAAATACTATTTCTGTTTTATTTTACTTCTAATTTAGCATGTTACTTGTCATTTGTTTGTAAATGAACATTCTTTCAAAGTAAGTCATATAGCCATACACCAATGTTGTTGTGAACATAAACCCTTAAAGGTTGTCTAAGCAATGTGGGGCCAAAACATTTTTTGTCACATACATCAAACGTCTCCTCACTCCACACACTGTAAAAAAACGCGGTCTCTGTAGACACCACAGGCTCCACAAACGGCAACAAAAACAATCATGTCTTACCCGGACCACGAAACCTAACAAACAGTGTTCCAGCCAATCACTGGCAAGAAATATTTGAGGGTGGGTCTGGGGGGTTAGTGCGCGTGCACATGAAGGGGGTGTGTGTGTGTGAAGGAGAGAGAAGCATCAGAGGGAAGTTTGAAAAATGGCCGACACACGACCAAAGAGACGTCGTTCTGAAGAACAACTGAAAAAGAAGAAGGAGTCGGATAAAGAACGTGCGAAGTTCCGAATTTACATCGGTAGCAAAGCTTTTAAACGATGGCGAGGACTCCGGCGGCAGAAGGGCTTCCAGTCCGACATTCAGGTTGCTCTGTTTTTGCTGGACAGGTGGGTAACGTTAATTTTTTTTTTCTTCTAAATTGACGCTTATGTTCGCCAAACCCACACAAGGATATAATTAGCTAGAACTATGCACGTTCACAATTATTTCAGGAAGGACGGAAGGGGGAGGAGATGAGATGCGGATGAGGGAGGGTCTAGCTAGCCTCCGATTTGTTTGAAAATATTCCGAACGTCAACACCCAGGATCGCTTAGACAACCTTTAATAGAAAATAAGTATGACTCATGAGCAGAATTTAGCCTACATAATAATTTGGCAATAGACAAAGGACATATGCGTGGTTACATTTTAGACACAAAATGTTTTTAAAAATAATAATTTTAAAAACTGTGTGTTTGGTGAGTAAGAATTCTGATTTCATAGCCCAATCATGTTTGCTGGGCATAAACTGTTTTATGAAAGATATGATGTGCAAATCATTCACTAACGCGCCACGCAAGTTTCATCATTGACAAAAGCATTTTTCGGAAATAGAAAAGTGGTGATTTCTTTTTAGGCAGGCAGAAAGGAATCACCTTCCCAGTGTTTTTCTCCACACAATTCTGACACTGCATCCCATTATCGTTGATGTCACACCGATAAAGAGGAATTTCTGCATTAATCTGTAGGAGATCTTTTTCCATATCCTTCCTCCAGGCGTCCTTTTGCCAGATCTTCTCAAACACAAAAACATTCATTGCCTCTTTTCGGATATTCTTCCAGTTTGAAAGACCTGGCAAAATATAGTCTTCACTCTGAATGCACTTCGTCACACAAGGTGAGTTGTAAGAATAGAAAACTATACAGCTGTTCTGGTCTGCCTTTGCTAGAAGTTTGTCCATTGGAGAATTACCTACCTACAGGATAGAGCAGGAAATGCTCCGCATGTTCCACTGGTTTTGGTGTGGGTCGTGGAGTCTGAGTCTTATAGGCAAAAATTGAAGTAGAAAAGCAATAAAGAATAGGACAGAAAGTATGTGTATATAATCATATTTATTTTCCAAAACAATGAAACCATTCAAAATATTTTGACCCAAGCGTAAACAAATTAGTATTTTAATTATTTTTTTTAAAGCAAACATGGTGGTTCATACAGCAGTAAAACCTTATGGTCATAATGCCAGATGTTAAATAAAAAAATTCTTTAATTTTCTGCTACTTTTCCTTTATTGGGTCTTTCAAAATGTTTAATTTTATATAAGCTCCCATTCATGATAACAGTCACTCATTTCTTTAATCAAATGAAAGATGAACCTTTACTGTTCCCTGCAAGAAAATTACATATTTGTAGTTAAAATATATATATATATATATACATATATGTATATGAAAGAAAATATAAGAGGCAGCATATGAAAGGTTATATGAAAAGGCATAAAAGTTTCAGCAGTAAACTAGCTCATCAATTACTTTAAAGCATCGCTGTCAAAACAACTCAAGGTCCCTAAGATGATGGAAAGTTTGGCTCATGGGTCCCTTAGACATTCATCTATCACTGGTACGTTTGAACCTGGTTGCCCGCAAAGAATACAACCATTTTCATTACAGTAGTAAAGCGGCACACGATCAGCAATCTTCTTTAGTTCATGCCTAAGATTTGGATTTGTTTTGTCCGCATAGTAGATATGTGTGAAAACAAAGGCTTTGATTCCCTGGTATGCTCCTAATTGATCAAGACCTCTAATAATATCACGTCTCGGCGAAATATTGTTGTTGAGACATCTGGCTATACAGGGAGAGAGAAAAGTGTACAAAACTACACATCCATCCTTCTTTGTGTTCAACAAGTTTGTCAAATGAGAATTATTTAGAGGATACATCAGTAAATACTCTGAATGTTTATCGTCTATTTTATCAACTCCTGCAGCGATGAGTTGCTTGCCTGTGTAGACACTCATGTTCTTTCCTGTGTGTGGTTTAACTTCTTCTGATCTGTCATCTATCAGAAAGTTTCTTGTGTTGGGGTAGAATTCACTTTGGCACTGCTGCTTTGGGACATTGATGGCTACTGCATACTGGTCGCCGTTAAAATAACTGGTTAAAAAAGAGAACAGAATGATAACCATTTACAAAATAAGTGAGAAATCAAAAATGCATGCTGGGACTGTAACATATGTCAAACTAATTTTGGGTCATTGTGTTGATATGTAAGTATGTAAGTCAATGTGTCTGCTATCATACAAAAATGTATTTGTGTTATTGGAACACATTTTAGTTACTGTGATTACAATATATTGTTAGTTCAATAATGCATATATTAACAAATACAATCTTATTGTACAGTGTTACCCATTCATTGCAACATGCAAACGTACTTGAAATGAAAAAATCTTTGAATCCTGGAAAGGGTGTTAATATCCACATTTTCATTCATCGCACTTTGAATGCAGGAAAGCAAAATGACCCCGAGAAGGATCCTCAAACGCACAGAGAAAACCTAAAAAGAGCAAAAATATAAAATATCAGTCATCACTCTCCTCTCTATCACTCCTGTCCTGTCAAATGAAAGTTTGACATTGGAAATGATCTTCAGGGTAAATTGAAGCAGATTATGGCACATGTTCCTCTCTTCTGCTGTGAATGAGAATCTGTGAGAATCTTGCAAAGGAAACACTGTCATGGACTGTCATAACCCTAACCCTATACTGCTGTCTCCAAAAACTCTAAGAAGTATGAATATGACTTACCATGTTATCTGTTGCTGAGATGAGAAGGTTCAGAGATGTTGTGTGAGTCTGCAGTGAAGCAGGAGTGAAGAGGAAGAAGAAGAAGGAGAGGCTTTTTATTCTGACACTCGACCAGCCCTCTTCTTCAACATCATGAAAGGACCAATTAAAACAGTTCACACTAACATCACTGACTCCTTTAATAATGTCACTGAGCATCTGTGTGTGTCTTGCCATGTACGGTATGTTGGACATCCTCAAAATGGTCAATAAGAAATAAATGAATAATTCCTCCAAGAACTCTAAAAACTGTCAGGGGTTCCTCCAATAAAGGTATCCAAGTAAAATGGATTTAAGGCAGGGATATATTGGATATTGATCTTACATTGTTAATTTACGAAATACTTGACAATGTTAAGTAATTTTAATTGCAGTCACTATGCATACTATATATATATATATATATATATATATATATATAGTATCAAGAAGCAAAGCAATGCGTTTGTGTAATAAACATTTGGTAACACTTAACAATACGGGTTGTAATGGCTAATTTTGCATTTACATTTATATGTTTCTTTTCTTTCATATACAATCTTTTATATGTTTTCTTTTATTTCATTAAGATGTGATAGATGTGTGTGTAACTTTACTAACGTTGGAAAAGATGTATTCGTAAACATTTAAAGGAAACTATTCATATCATCTAACATACTGTATACTCATAAGCATTTAAAGGAAGATGTTCATGTAATCCAAAGGACATTATTAAAGATATAACAAGCTGTTAGAAATGCATAAGTTAGAGTAAGCTTAAGGTATAACTAAACTGTTAGAAATGCATAAGTAATGTAAGCTTAGTGTGAGGACATATCGTTCTGTGTTTAACAAAGAAGCAAGCAGCATGGAAACATTTTAATAGCTCATTGTATCTCAAGTGTGAATTGTATGTGTGAAGGGTTTTGTTCAAACAAGAGATAAAGCAGAAAGGTGTGAGGTCGAACATTAGCTGCGGCCGAGAGCTGAACGGGGGTGTGAAGTTGAGAGGGACATGAAGCACAGGAAATTCTAACACAAACGTCATTGTGCTGTCCAGATTAAATATATGGTTTACAAGAATTTACAAGAATAGTTAAGAGCAGCGCAAATATGCTTCCTTGCTAGACGGTGTAGGAGACGATCGGTTGCAAACCAGACATAGCCTGCATGGTTTCCTGAGAAGGACTAGCCTTCGCCTTCACATGTAGACACTGTTCTGTATGTTGAATGCCAAGTTTTGGAATTATTTTCTTGCAAGAAAATAAACTTTTGATACTTTGACTTTTAAAAAGGTTTCCACTTGTCTTCTTCCTCCTATCTTTTCGAACAACAGAGAATTATTTCCACAACAGGGTGCACTAATATGCATTAATTCATGCTTAACTAATCCACAGATAATCATGAGTTAATGTATAACTAATGAATAACTAAACCCTTAATTAATAATTACTTCATCAGCAACTAATAAAGAGTCTATGATTAATAGAATAAGTAATATATTAATTGCTATTAATTCAATGTGTCATTGTGTATAAATTCCTTAATAACATATTTGATTAACTAATAGTGTAAATTAATGTGTTAATTACCACAATTAGTCAAAGCTATGCACTTCAACTTCCAGTTGTCTGCTTTAATTAATCATTAGCTAATAAATTTGCAAAGGTATCATTATGTTATGACTAGGGATGCACCGATCCACATTTTTTCACTTCCGATCCGATCCCGATACCTGACTTTGGATATCGGCCGATACCGATACTTTTCCGATACCAGACCTGTGTTTGCTTTAACATTATTTATCATTATTGTTGATTTTATATGATGCTGAAATAAACACCTCTCTACAAGCAAGGATGATACGTACGTATGTAGCCTATGTCATTATATATATATATATATATATATATATATATATATATATATAATAGATATATTAAACAATAGATAGACAATTAAACAAAGATATACGCATTACACAGGCCTACACAGTGCTTTAATTTCAGGAAGGTCTACTAACATTATTCAGGTATATCGTCTAAAAAAAGAATTATAATAAAGTAATCAAAAGTAAAATAGCACTGCAAAGTTTATCATAGATAGATTTATGCTTATTAAAGCTGAAGTTATTCATTCAAGAGCTGTGAGTTATTTTCTCTTTGCCTTTTGTTGTTTGATTCGCAGTAATGTCGCAATCGTCACATTTATACTGCTGCCCCTTTAAGAACTAGTGCGGATTTCATAGTCTACTGATGCACCATATTTTCTCCCAACTATTTCCATAAACCGTTTATGTCTAAAATGAACGTAGTTAAGTGATAATCTCCAAGCCGGTCGTTTTGACATTTTTGTGCAGGCTACATTTGATCGTTTAGACGCGCATATGAAGCCCAAAGCATAATTTGCTTGTCTGTTTCGGAGCGCGCGCCGCCCTCTTGCGCAACTTTTGTGCTCTTTTTATTATTAAAAGCGTCCCGCAATTTAGCAACAGCAGAGACGGCATTTTACAACAATTACCGATCGTGCTGATTCTGTCTTAAAGTTTGAGTTTTACGGAGAAATGACGATGGGAAGGAAGTTGGCTACACAGAATGCGGCTATTGTTTAATGTTTTTTTTTTTTTACCTCAATATATTCTTTAATCTTTGGAAATCAGACTAATATCACAGATCTAAAGTGTAACCAGGCTATGTTTTCTCTGTCGTCACTCATTAAGCAGGGCTGTCGTGTTGTGCGTGCTGTGGCACCGCGTGAGAGATCTCTCTCTTTCTCTTCTGGACTGCGAATTGCAAACATGCATCACAGACAAATAGTTTAATTTATACGGCTTTGCAAACATTGCATTTTGCTGTCTTGCTCTGCTGCGGTGTTTCCAGTGTGAAGTATTTCCACCATAGGATTTCCACACAGCAAACATATTGGTAGCTCAATGCTATCCTGCTAGCTGGCTGCAAACTGCGGAATGGATTTCTTGAGCGGGCGTCTGTGTGTTTCATTGAGCCCTATTTTTTACAGTCTATGATTGAGCTGCACCTCCGTTCAGGATATCCATTCCTCAGTTTGCAGCCAGCTAGGCTAGCAGACTAGCAGCCCCGGGGAATCCCTTTTGGAGTCATTTCAGCAGCCAACGTTAAAGCGCATACATGGATCATAAATATCGGATTTCTCCGCAGGTTGGATCTGAAAAATCGATACGTGAATTACGCTGGTATCGGTCCCGATACCGATACTGGATCGGATCGGCCCCATCCCTAGTTATGACTTTACTTGTTGGGGCACATCATTATTAACTAGTCATTTAGTAATTGTAGTAATTTACATATAAATTTGCACTAACAATGAAGTAATTAATCATGTATTAATGCATATTAGTTTATCTGTCATATTATCTGGAAGTTGAAATACAAGGCTTTGACTCATTCTGGTAATTAACATAGCCTATTAATTAACACAATTAGTTAAAAAATGAGTTATTATGGAATTGATCCACAATTACATATTTAATTAAAAACAATTCATGTATGAACTAATACATTAACCTTACAGACTCTTAATTAATTCCTAATGTGCACTGAAAAAAAATCTGTTGGATTTACATGATTTAATAGTGTACATCGGTCCCACATGAGCCAATTAAGTTACACAAACATAATTTATTCATGTATCTTCAATGTCATGGAATTAAGTCATTTTAAGTTATCCAATTAAGTAGTCTCAAAGTGATTTTAAAAGGCTCCCTGATTGGCTGTTTCAAGTATTCAATTTCATATATTTGTATTCATATATCATGTATTCATATATTCAATTATCCAATTAAGATTGAATGTGTTTGTCACACATCTCAATATCTAGTCCATAGCCTAGCCTCGTCTAGGCCCTCCTCTCCACTCGGACCACCAGCGGGCTTGAGCAAGGAGACATGAAAGGTGGGTGAGATACGGTAATGGTCAGGTAAGGCTAATCTAAAAGAAACTGGAGTGATTTGTCTGATGATTCTGAAAGGACCCACGTACCTGGGACTGAGCTTCTTGCAAGGTAACCGGAGCCGTATGTTTCGGGTGGACAACCAAACCCATTGCCCTGGTTGGTAGTTGGGATTGGTACGCCGATGTCGATTGGCCTGTCCTCTGGTGCGATGCACTGCCCTTTGTAGATGGACATGAGCACTATTCCACGTCTCCTCACTGCGTTGTAACCATGAATTGATTGCGGGTAAGTCCGAGGGTTCTCCAGACCATGGAAACAATGGGGGTTGGAAACCTAGGATGCACTGAAAGGGGGTGAGCCCTGTAGACGGCTTACGAAGTGAATTTTGAGCGTACTCAGCCCATAACAGATAGCGACTCCAGTCGAACTGATTCTTCTGGCAATATGAGCGAAGGAAGCGGGTGAGTTCCTGGTTTAATCTCTCTACTTGACCATTGGCTTCAGGATGATTTCCAGAGGTTAGACTGACATTAATGTTCAGTAGCTGACAGAAAGCGGACCAGACTCGGGAGGACCCCGATCAGAGACTATATCCTCCGGTAGACCGTAGAATCGAAACACATTGTTGCAGAGGACCTCAGCGGTTTCCAGGGCAGTGGGAAGCTTGGGAAGAGGTATCAGTCTGCAGGCTTTTGAGAAACGATCAATTACCGTGAGAATGGTAGTGTGACCCTGAGAGAGAGGTAGATCCGTCACGAAGTCGATGGCGATGTGTGACCATGGTCTTTGTGGGATGGGTAATGGATGAAGAAGCCCAGCAGGTAATTGATGTGGAGATTTAGAGGTATTGCAGATGGTGCAATTTTGAATGAACGTGATGGTGTCCGCTCGTATAGAAGACCACCAGAACTTGTTGTTGAGGAGTTGTAAAGTAGCTGTTATACCTGGATGACCGGAACTTGGGTTAGTGTGTACCATTTGTATTACTCTCTGTCTTAGGGCCAGTGGAACGTACATAAGGTTAGGTGGGGTTTCAGCCGGTGGAGGCTCGGTGACTTGGGCTTCCGCGATTTCAGTTAGTATATCCCACTGCACAGGTGCGAGAATGATAGTGGATGGAATGATGGGTTCTTGATCTGGTGATAGGAGATCTGACTCATAAAGTCGAGAGAGTGCATCTGCCTTGGTATTTTGCGAGCCTGGACGATAAGTAACTCTGAAATCGAATCTGGTGAAAAAGAGTGACCATCTGGCTTGTCGATGGTTGA